TAGAGATGGGGGTCTCACTTTTGTTCAGGCTAGAACCCCTGAGCTCAAGTGATCCTCCTGCCTCGGCCTCCCAGAGTGCTAGGATTATAGGCATGAGCCATACAGCACAGGCCAGAGAAGCACTTTCTTAAAGTGGTGATATCAACCCTGGCTTACACATTAGAATCTTCTGAGGAGCTTGAAAACAATAGGGACGCCCAGGCCCCTCCCCCCGAGATTCTGACTCTTGCTGGGAGAGTGTAGGGGTTGGCACTGGGATTGTTGTGACGCTTTCCAGCCACTCCACGTGCAGCCAGAGTTGAGAACTGACTTAACGTTTCTCAAACTTCCTTGTTACAAGGCAGAGCTGGTAAAATTCTAAATCTGAAGTCTTCAAATTCTATGTTTCTTGTAAACATTATGTATTATGATTAAAACCAAATACCAGTTAGCTCCTGGAGGACAGGGATATATTTTTTTTTTCAAGAGTAACTATGTCAGTTTCAAGAATAACTAGGTATTTCAGGATAAGAGACAAAACAACAAAAACACACACAAAATAATTGTAGTCTTTCCCCTAAATGCATCTCAGTGTTGGCAATCTCACCCTTGGTAATGTCTTCACTTCTCTGGATGGGTCACACAGCAGCATCCTAAAATGACCGAATGATGCAGACATTACGATGGGCAAAACAGCCAGACTGGCCCTGTCCCCACCCAATGTCTTCAGCTTACTATAGATGAACTTTCAAAGCTAATCTCCCTAATGCTTATGAGTCATTTCCTGAAATGTGGAACACACAGCCAGCTGGGTTGAAACCATACATGCTGTGTTCTCTGAATTTCAAGATGCTACTGAATCTGACCTCTGGTTCTCCATTTATTTCCAGAGACCAGCGTGCAGTCAACAGTCCCCGTGACAACAAACTCGGAGCTCTATTTTCCCTTTATGGGGATGCTGCCACAGCTAGAATCTACTGCTGTTTTGAACTGTCTCTTGGTCTGATGGCCTGAAATTTTGCTTAGCAAGAGCCTCTCTCTTCCGTTTGCACAGCAGCTGGCTGGAAACCAGATCTCACACAGAGCTTTCCGATCTGTGGGCCACACCCTACCTGGTGCCTTAAATCAGTTGCTACTGCTTTAAGACATAGGTCCCATCAGCTGTGAAACAGCTAGAGACCCAGTGTGGTGGCCTGCAGCTGTGAGCCATCTGTTTACCACTGTTGGCGTTAAGATCATTACCAGTTTCTCTGTCTTCTTTTAAGTCAATAAAGTTGGCAAGTCTTGCATAAGAGCAATGGCTCTCAAACTTCTTTGGCTCAGAACACTTTAATACATTTAAAATTATTGAGGACCACAGAGAGCCTTTGTTTATGTGGGTTATATTCGGTGGTGTGCTTGAGTCCACCTATATCCATCCACTCACGACAATTCAATCAACATTAAGGAACTTTTCAAGCCAACTGTTAAACTATTTGGAACTTGCTGTTGGCAGTGGAAGGAGTATTTGCACCATGGAAATGGGCAAATGATACAAATCAGGGCTTTTTGTCTTTTTCTGGAGATCTGCTTCATTGGCACACCATTGATTTGAAAATATTTATTTCAGCTAAAAATAATAAAGCCATTACATACTAACATAAATGCCACATTTTTTCATATTTTTTCCTCAAATAATAATTTAATGAGGAGTTGCATTGTTTTACATTTTTGCAATCTCTTTAATGGCTGGCTTAATAGAAGACAGTTGGATTTTCACATCTGCTTCTGCATTTAATCTGTTGCACTATCACAGTTGGAAAACTCAACTGTACACTTGTGAGAGCATCTCAGACCAAATAAGGCAAATAATGCTTAGTGTTGGGGTGTGGTGGCTAACGCTGTAATCCTAGCACTCTGGGAGGCTGAGGTGAGAGGATCACTTGAGGTCAGGAGTTCAAGACTAAACTCAGCAGGAGTGAGACCCCATCTCTACTAAAAATAGAAAGAAATTAGCCAGCCAACTAAAAACAGAAAATACTAGCCCGGCATGGTGGCATGTGCCTGTAGTCCCAGCTACTTGGGGGGCTAAGATAGAAGGATCACTTGAGCCCAGGAGTTTGAGGTTGCTGTGAGCTAGGCTGACGCCACAGCACTCTAGCCTTGGCAATAGAGTGAAGCTCTGTCTCAAAAACAAAACAAAACAAAACAAAACAAAAATTCATAAAAAGGTCTCAGTGTTTTAAAAGAGTTCTGACCTTGCAGATCTCCTGAAAGGGTCTCAGGGACTCTGAGAATCACTGCACTGAAACATTTCTCCTCTCTCCTCAGACTAGAGCTTACCTTACTGCACCTCCGTTATAAAACACAATTAGGTTTATCCTGTGCTCAATTTCTCTCCATGCACATTTGGTCTAGTAATTTTGAAAGGCACAGCCAGGCAGCATGGTGAATAGGCCAGCAAATCACCATTTGTGACTGTGTTTTTCCCCCTTAATTCTCCCTACAGTACTACGTGAAGATATGCTACTGGGGCAAGGTCCAGGCCTCAGAAACTTGGTCATAAACACTGTGTAACCTTTTCCGTTTTGCTTCTGGAGCTCAAGGCTTCCTCAAGGACATGCCAACAGTTTTAATTTCTTAAATTTAAAGGTATAACCTAAAATTTTCCAAGTCTATATTTAACAGCCAAATATTCCATTTCCTTAAAAATGCTATTTTTTGACTTGGTGGAAAAAACATTTTTGGGTTAAGAAAATTCAAGTTTATCTGTCTCAAAAAAAAAAAACAAAAAACCAAAAAACTTCAAGTGTGTTTTTCTGAACTGAAACATATTTTGAAAAATAAAGATAGAAGAGTTTAAAGGTCACTTTCTGGTTAGAGTGAGGATCCTATTTCTGGTGGCCATGAGTGGAGGTGACCATCTGAGTTCATTTAATATAGCTATTTCTGAAGCATGTATGGGGAGTCCGCGCCTCAAGAACCTGAACAATTTTTGTGTTAACTTAAAAATTCTGTGTTAACAAAATTCTTATTTAGTTGAAATAATTTTTCCGTTGACTACGCATCTAGAAAGATTTTATTAATAATTTTTTTTGACTTTTCAACTCTGAGGAACCTGTCATTTTGCTTTAAATTTCCCCTCCTCCCTCGGCCTGAGGGAGTGTTAGGTGGCAAAGGATTGTTGTCACTGGGGCAGGGAAGGTGGCAAGGAATGGGTTTCCTCCCTGCTCTGTCTTTGTCTGTCTCTGACCAGGAAAGAACTGCAGACACTGTCCTTGATACCTATAATCCAGGAATCTGAATATATTCTCAATGATAAAACCTTGAATTTAGAAGGGGGACAGGGGGAGAGAGGGAGAGGAAGAGAGAGAGCACTAATCACTCAATGCTTTTGGCAGAAATGGTGCTTTTTTTTTTTTTTTCTTCTCTATTTATTTTTCCAGGTTCATTCTCTATGCCCAAGAAAGCTGATCTCTATGGACTACTTGGCCTCTGGGTTTTGGGGTGGTAACAGCTTTCGTTAATTGCTAGTCTCTGGAGTGCTTCACCATCCTCTGTTGGTTCCCTTAAACCTATCCATGCCTCTGCAAATTACCTCTTCATTAAATGTTCTTCAGTAAAATCCTTAAAGTGTGCCCAGGCCAGAAAGATATAATAATAATTCATTCTAAACAGATACCAAGCAAATTTTCATGTTTATTAATATAGGTTACATTTTTAAGAGTGCACATAAAAACAATGACATATTTTATAAGTATAGTAATGATAGTCATATTAATATTTTAATATATACAGACTGAATAAACAATGACAGTAAATCTCCACTGATTTAGATAAAATGAATACAGTAACCACATTAATAAAATCAGTACTAGCTTCTACTTACAATACAGTTACATTACTTTTATGTAAATTAATCTATGGGATATGGAAATAGTTTGTTCTTTTAAATAGATAAAACATTTGCCTTGCAACTTTACCCTTTTGTTTAAAATGCCACTATTTTTTTGTAAGTATAAAAAGACACATTTGAACTAATTTTCAAATTAATTTGTCAAGTCCATAAAGATTGTCTATACTCCATACTTATCAAGGGGTTGAAAAATGCTTTTAAAATAATCTCATTAACTGTTAAGAAATGTAAATGGAAAGTAAAGAATAATTTTCCTAAATTTCAATTTCAACTCTATTTTCTTCTGTTATTTCCAACTAGACTGACATAATTCTTGAAAGAACACTTCATTTGAGTAATCTATTGGTATTTTTTTTTTGAGACAGGGTCTCACTTGGTCACTCAAGCTGAAATGCAGTGGCGCAATCATAGCTCACTGCAGCCTCCAACTCCTGGGCTCCAGCGATCCTCCTGCCTCAGACTCCAGAGTAGCTGGGACTACCTACAGGCATGTGCCACCATGCCCAGCTAATTTTTCATAGAGACAGGGTCTTGCTATGTTGTTCAGTTTGGTCTTAAACTCTTGGTCTCAAGTGATCCTCCTGCCTCAGCCTCCCAAAGTGCTGAGATTACAGTTTTGAGCCACCATGCCTGGTGCTGCTTTGAACATGTCCTATATTGTGTTATGTTTCCATTTTAAGTTATAACCACAGGAAGCTGTAACCCCAATATTCAAAGTAACCCAAATGTTCGAAGCTGACAGGCCTTGCTTGTGTGAAACATGCTTGCTGACAGCTGGCTAAAAGCACATCTGGACATGACATATTGATTATAGCCACATCACATTACATCCATGCACAGTCTACTTTGCTCTTCTTGAGGGCAGGTCTCAGTCTCACTCCACTCTGGACGCTGGCACCATCAGAGGCTCGCAGCACATAACGGTGCTTCCGAGTGAGAACTAGCCTTTTGGGACAACTGCTGGACATGAGCATGCCTTCTTTCTCTGCTCTTGAGAGGGGGTACAAGGGCTTTCATGGTCATCACCTCCTAGGATAGCACATTCTGCTTTGCCAGTTTCTAGTAAATGTCATCAGTTCACAGCCAGCCCTTGGGGGAACTCCAGGGGGACAGAGCAAACCCGGTGGTCCCAATCTCGCTGTTCTCGAGAGGCTCGGCTGCAGGGTTTCTGGCCAGTCTGGGTCTGACGAGGTCCTGCCGTGTATCTGCTGCTTGGCGTTCTCCATCAGGGCGGACACATGCAGCTCTCAGGGGTGGGCTACTCTGAAAGCCAGCCTGTGGTCACTAGTGGCACTTATGCTCAGTCTTGGTTTACATTTACAGTGTGTAAAACATCAAAAATGCTACCCATATCAAAACTAGGGCTTTAAATCTGTTTCAATAATTTTAAGAAATCAAACTCTGATATGTTTTAAAACACTAGAACTTTTTCTATACACAGATAATACTAAGCCTTGTCCCTCAATAACTTAAACATTGCCGTCAAACAATTTCAAAATACACTTATTTGCAAAAGCTGTGTAAGTCCAAATTATGGAATCTCTATTGATGGACACTGTCAGATGTTCAGGGCTAAACGTCACTAACCTAGACTTTGCACGTAAAATCGGAGATTCGGAGAGTATTTCTGTAATTGCCGAGGGAGAAAAAGAGAGGGTTTCCAAGTGCCTATCCTATACTGCACTGCAAATAATACATGTGTGTGCATACATATATATGTGTATGAATAAGTCACTGAGATATATCAAGAAGTGACATTCGGTTATTAACACATCATTGGCATACTCCCTTGGAATAAAAACATTGTTTTCTATTCTTGTTATATTTTCTGGTGATTAACAAAAATATACACTTGATGGCTCTCATAAGAAGCAGGCGTGCAAATGATACATTGTTGTTTTAGGAGGTGAAGTAAATACAGTTTAGGCAGGTACTAACAGAATCCTCAGGCGATTCACTTTTTTAATCTTTTCTTTTTAACCAACCAGCAGTCCCTTTTCCTAAGTTAACAGCTTTTTGTATATGCTATTATTATTCAGGTTACTAGAGCAGGTGTCCATTTTACTTGCCATCAGCTGGCCACTGCTGTTGTAACTGCTGGGATCGGAGCTTTCTTTGCAGCACAGGATACTGCAGAGGTATCTCTGGCACTCAGAGGACGCATAGTAGTAAATCAAGGGATCGATGCAACAGCTTATGCTGCTGACACAGACACAGAGGAGGTAGGCAAAGTAGGCGGCCTCTGTCCAGGAACTGTGAGAAAGGAATGAGTAATGCACGATCAGAAGGATGTTCGTGGGTCCGAAGCAAACGATGAAGACGCAGAAAACGGCAGCTGACAAGAACAAAGCGCGGGACTTCTTGCTCCGGTTGGCAACTGTGGAAGAGCTAAGACATCGAATGATAGACACGTAACAGACTGTGGAAATGATCAACGGCACAAAGAAGAAGACGGCAGAGAAGGCTGAGAAGTAATAGGCGTAATAGCCTTCGAGCAGGGTTTCATTGAGCACATCGTGACAGGTGGTTATGTTGAGCCCCGGCACCTGCGTGGTCTGCTCCTTGAGGAGCAGGGGCACCACCCCTGCGATGGCCATAGCCCAGATGGCCAGACACGTGACGGAAGCCCTTCCCAGAGTACGCCAGGAGAGGGACTGGATGGGATACACCACCGCCAGGAACCGGTCAATGCTTATGACTGTCATGAGCATGATGGAGGCATACATGTTACAGTAAAACGCGGCAGTGACGAAGCGGCACATTTCAGACCCGAACTGCCAATCGCTGCCGGAAAAGTAATAGCTGATCTTAAAGGGGAGCACGGACACAAAGAGCACATCTGCCGCGGCCAGGTGTAACATGTACACCACCGCCGGCTTCTTGACCTTCATCTTCAAGATGAACACGACGACGGCCATGATGTTTAGCGGAAGACTCACTATGCACACGCCCGTGTAAACGGAGGGCACGAACAGGGTCAACCAGGGGCTGGTCAGATATCCCGAGGCATCTTTCGAGATGAACACAGGGGGTGGTTTCTGAAGAGGACTGCTTTTATTGTTGGAGATGAACCTGTCTTCCGTTGACCCACTTTCATTTTCCTCCTCGTTCTCCCCCAGTGGGAATGGTTCATATCTGTCACTGGGCTTTCGGAGAAGAAATGACCGGATATCCACAGTAGCATTTGTTGCTTTGGACTCTGAAAAATAAAATTTTAAAATTAAAAAAAAAGTGAATGAATTAAAAAGACAAAAGAGACAAGTAGAGAGCATATTTTACTTTTGTTTATTTTTTGTTTTATTAGGAAAGGGGGCGGTAAAGAGCAGGTGACGCACAAATAGCCATTATCAGAGAATAAAAGCGGATGCAAAATACTGTGCCACATTTTGCTGTGATGTAAGCAAACCCTTTTAAAACTCTGCTCCTCAAAGGGAGAAAGGTGAATGATATGCCTTCAGAGATCCATGCTGCAAACATTAAGAAATTCCTGACATGAAGGAATCAAGCACTGATTTCTTTTCCATACTAGCCACTGTCTATACAAACAAATCACTCCCAGCTCCTATGACTTCTCTTTCCGCCACATGCCTTAATGGGCACATTTTCTCTTTAGTTTGCAACTATCATATGAAACCCATCCCCCCAATGGAAAAATCCACACAGAAAGTGAGGAGACTTCTTACATGTTATGGAGCTAGGGGCAAATTCAGAGCAGGACCCAGGACTCCCAGTTCTATGCCCAACGTCCAGGGGACAGTAGTTTTTCTCTCCTCTTTTGGTGTGCTGACACAGTAGAATGTAGCAATCTGTCATCATATCTGGGCCAAACCACAGTGCCTCGGGTTATCTCCTAACATAGCCACAAGGTATCTGTCACCTCAGGCACTGTCCGGCTTCCTTCCTGAGTGGTCTGGGCCACCCACGCCAGGCTGATGGCCTCCTTTCCAGAATGCTACATGCCTCAAGGTGCATGCCAGGCCAACCAGGGTCTTTGGCGTACCAACTGGGTGTCAAAATAAAGGCTCAGCTGTACACATCCTCCCACCAAAAACATCCATTTGAAATGATCATCAAAGAAAAGTAACACTTAGTAGCTGGAATCCAGTCAAATTTTCTTCCCAAGAAGCTTTGCTAAAATTCTGCCACTGAAGAGAAATGACAAAGAGCCTTTTCTGGGCCTCAGGAAGCAGAGGAGGGAAGAGAGACTATGTCAGGCTTTAGTTTGGAATGTCGGTTCTTAGTGCATTCATGCTAAAGAATGACCAGATGCACCAAAGTAAGGCACGCAGGAGGTGAAGTTTATTGAGGGGGAGCAAGATAGGATTATAGAGCAAGAGCAAGACATTGGTTTACAAAGCATGATATATATGCCACAGATGATGACCAGACCCTTTGTCGCTGCAGAAAAAGAGATCATGGTTATGGTCTGGGTCTTTTTTTATGGTGTCCGGATATGGTGTTCAAAACGTTACTATAGAACCAGTTTGGATAGTTGAAGAGCTGCATGACCTGAGTCTTACTGTGCATGTGGGTTCTAGGTCCCTTTCTAGACTTTATGGTACCCATGAGGCTTGGCCTGTGGGCTAGAGAATCCTCTGCATTCTTTCACAGCTGATGCGCCAAGTTCTGATTGGCAGATTTGGAGGGTTTTCCTCCTCCCCCAGCTATGGAGAATTAGGGTGGGGTAGGACCAAGATAGATGGTGGCAACAGCTAAGAGACCCAGAATCCCTCACTGTCTACCTAACAAAACCACAAAGGAAAAAGGGCAAGGTCTCTATCACTGCAAATGCTTACAATAAAGGTTGGACATGCAAGTCACTTACAAGTGATGTTAGAGGATTTGAAAATTGGCAGGAAGGCCGGGCGCGGTGGCTCACGCCTGTAATCCTAGCACTCTGGGAGGCCGAGGCGGGTGGATTGCTCAAGGTCAGGAGTTCGAAACCAGCCTGAGCAAGAGCGAGACCCCCGTCTCTACCAAAAATAGAAATAAATTAATTGCCAACTAATATATATATATATACAAAAAATTAGCCGGGCATGGTGGTGCATGCCTGTAGTCCCAGCTACTCGGGAGGCTGAGGCAGCAGGATCGCTGAGCCCCGGAGATTGAGGTTGCTGTGAGCCGGGCTGACGCCACGGCACTCACTCTAGCCTGGGCAACAAAGTGAGACTCTGTCTCAAAAAAAAAAAAAAAAAAAAAGAAAGAAAGAAAATTGGCAGGAAGTTGGACAAGTACAGTGGATTTTCAAACTTTTGGTTTAGCTTTTCAGCAGTGGAACCTCTCCTATAAACAGAAATTTATAGAGAGAGGCATAATACGGTAGAAGAGAGAGTTCTGCTTCTGGTTCAGCTCTGTAAGGTCCTACCAGATCCAACCATCCATTAGATAAAAATGATAAACTCTAGACTCCCTCCCTACCCTCTGTCCCCCAATCAATGATCTGAAGGCATTTGGGTTTACAGGGTGGTAGAAGGGGAGAACGGAGGAGGGGAGGGGTGAATCTTGGAAGACAGAATAGAACCTGGTAATTTTCTTGTTTTCAGTGACTTTTAGCTTGAAAGGCCAATGTCAGTGCCTATGATGTTGTGAAATATATATCTGGTCTTCCTCCTCATTTCCTGGCACATAGCTTTAAAAATCCTTGGAATCTCTGGAATGATAAGTGTCTTTTATATGCTAATGAGAAAACTGATGGCTGGGGGCCCCTAGATAACTTCATGATGGGAGCTGAACACCCAAAAGGCCAAGGCAGGACTACAGGGTCCTGACTTTTAGCCCCACCCCACAACCTCCAGGGATAGGAGAGGAGCTGAAGGTTAAGTTGGTCACCAATGGCCAATGATGTAATTTTGTGAATGAAGCCTCCATAAAACCCCAAAAGGGACAGGATTAGAGGTAGGGATTCTGGATGGCAGAACAGGAGGAATTCTTGGTAGGTGGCACCCCAGAGAGGGGGCATGGAAGCTCCACACCCCTTCCGACATACCACATGCATTTCTTCCATCTGGCTGTTCATCTGTATCCATTGTAATAGGCTTTACAATAAAGGTTTATAAACCAGTAACTGTAAGAAAAGTATTTCCCTGAGTTCTGTGAGCCACTCTAGCAAATTAGTTGAATCTAAGGAGGGGACCATGGGAACCCCCAGATGAATGGTCAGAAGTTCTAGAGGACTGAGCCCTTAACTTGTGGGATCTGACTGTATCTCCATGAAGACAGTGTCAGAATGGAGTTAAATTAGAGGATACCAGCTGTTGGTGTCTGCTGGAGAATCTGCAGGAGAATCGATTGCTTGGTGTGTGGGGAAATACCACCTAAACATCTGGTGTCAGAAGAGCTGAGTGAAGTGCTATGTGAGAGAAAAGAGTCTGGGGAAAATGTTAATGGCCCTTTTTTTTTCTATATCACACCAGTGCCATAAAAGGTGACTAAAACTCAGATAGAAAACCTGTAGTCTTTATGTTCCAAAGAACCAGAGGACACAGTTCAGGGTAACCATAGTCACTGGAAAGTTAGGAGAAAGTCCCAGAGAGGAAAAAGTAAAAGAGGAGGAATGCTAAACTCCAGTGCAAATTCTGTCCTAGGCTTTGGCTGAACCTTGAACCATGCATGTGTAGGAAGGTGCCAAACACCTCTGCTCCTCTCCATACTTCCAGAGTTCTTTTGCTGATTCCTTCCCATCTGGATCAGCTGTTGCTTCTTACCTTTAGATTTTTGTTTGGATAATGGCACGCCCTGTTTAGTCTCTGAGCCAGTAGGCAGATAAAATGTGGTATATGTATACTATGGAGTTCTACTCAGCCACAAAAAACAACGGTGATCTAGCAGCTCTTGTATTATCCTGGATAGAGCTGGAACCCATTCTACTAAGTAAAGTATCACAAGAATGGAAAAACAAGCACCACAGGTACTCACCATCAACTTGGTATTAACTGATCAATATTTAAGTGCACATATAGTAATAACATTCATCGGGTGTCAGGCAGATGGGAGAGGGGAGGAGGGTATGGGTATATTCATACCTAATGGGTGCGGTGTGCACCGTCTGGGGGATGGACACACTTGCAGCTCTGAATCTGGTTGGGCAAAGGCCATTATGTACCTTAAACATTTGTACCCCTGTAAATGCTTGAAATAAAAAAAAACAAAAACACCTCTGGCTAATAATAAAAACTGAATGATATCTGAGTTTCAGAAGAGAGAGGAGAGAGAAACGCAGTTTGAGGTCAACCAAATTAACTGGACTGCTAAAACAAAATACCAACTATTTGAAGGAATATAATAAACCCAGATCTTCGCAACACAATTGTCCATGATATAATCCAAAATCCACTTAATATAAGAATAATCTCAGGAGGTCCTACCGATCTAACCATCCCTTAGACAAAAATTAATAACTCCTCTCACATCACATAAGCAAAAATCAACTCGAAATGGATTAAGATGTAAATGTAGATCTGAAACTATGAAATATACCAGAGAAAAAAAATAAGGGAAAGCTCCATGACATTTGTTCTGGGCACACATAATTTTTTTTGCATATATATAAAAGCACAAGCAACAGAAGCCGCGAAATAGACGCGATGGATTGATATCACACTAAAAGTTTCGTGCACAGCAGAGGAAATAATCAACAGTAAAGCAGACAAATCTTAGTGAATGGGCAGAAAATATATTGCCCAAGCCATACATTTTATAAAGGGTTAATAATCAAATAATAAGATGAAACAACTTAATAGCAAGAAAGCAAATAATCAATTAATCTTGTCCATGGGATTAGTTAACCAACCAGCCAACAAAAAACCATAAAAATGGGCAAGGACCTGAATAGACCATTTCTCAAAGAAAGACATACAAATGGCCAAAAGTACATGAAATGCCTTAATATGACTAATTCAGGGAAATAAAATTAAACCATGAATATCACCTCACACCTGGTTATTGTATTGGCTTAGTAAAGTGTCAATGTAATGTGTGTGTGGTATGTTGAGAAAACAGACTGTATATACACTGTTGGTGTGATACAAATTACAACAGCCATTATGGAAAATAGTGGTGGAGGTTGTGCAATAAATTGAAAATAGATTATCATATGATCCAGCATCTCACTTGGGTATATATTCAAATGAAATAAAACAGTAATGTCAGAAGATATCCTGACTCCCATGTTCAACTGTACATTATTCACAATAGCCA